TGGTGGCAGGGGGCAGGGACGCTCACAGGGGATGGTGGTGCCGTAGCGCGCCTGGTCGGACATGATCAGCTTGTTCTTGAGGCTGCGGCGCCCCACGCCCTGAGCCCCGATCAGCACCAGCGTTTTCCGGCGGAACGGCGGCATCCGCGCCACCTCCTCGTAGATCAGCAGCTCGTGCCGGTCGAACTCTGCGCGGGGGACAGGGCTGGCACCCGTCCCCGGGGACCCCAGGGCACCCCGACCCGGCGGGTGCCACCACCGCCCCCCCTGCGGCACCCACCGGCGTTCTTCGTCGTCAGGTACATCATCCTCTTCTTCCTCTTCCCGCTGAGGCTGCCGCACAGGGCCCCTGGCAGGGCGAGGGCTGGCTGAGCTGGGGACAGGATAGGGACAGGGACAGGACGGGGACAGGGACAGGGCAGGGGAAAGGGGACAGGGGGACAGGGACAGGGACAGGGGGACAGGGACAGGGGGACAGGGACAGGGCAGCACCCCGGCACGGGGACAAGGGGCACGGGAGCTGGCATCTTCCTCAGGGGCAGCGCCGTGGGGACATCACCCCGAGGATCGGGGACAGCGCCAAGGGGACAGGGGACCCGCCGTGCTCCCCTCGGGACGGAGGCGCCCCTTCCCCCCCCGTCCCCCGTGTCCCCCGCGGCCGGGCCGGTGTCCCCATACCCGAGGCAGGGGCCACCTCCCCGTCCCGCTTGACGAAAGCCTTGCGCTTCTCCTCCAGCAGCTGGCTGGGCACCAGCCCCGCGCTGCCGCCCTCCACGTGGCACGCCTGGGACACAGAGCCACGCGTGGGGACCCCGCGGGGACCCCCCTGTGCTCCAGAGACCCCTCCGACCTCAGGAAACACCCCCAGCTCCGGGGGAACCCCCCAAGTTCCACAAGGAACCTCCCCAGCTCCAGGGACCCCCCCAAATCCCGACATGAACACAAATCCCGAGCTCCAGGAAATTCCCGAATTTCCGGGGACCTCCCAGCCCACACAGGAGCCCTCCCCTGCTCCAGGGATTCCCCCAGTTCCCAAGTAGCCCCCCCAGCTCCAAGGACACCCCCAGAGCTCCGGGGACCCCCCAGGCCCACAGAGACCCCTCGATCTCGCCCTCCACGGCCCGGGATGGAGCCCAAGTGCCACCACCCCCCACCCACCGCCCAGGGCCCCCTGACCTGCCACCAGTTGGGGGGGGGGGGGTTGACGATCTGCAGCAGGTCCCCGGCCATGAACTTGAGCCCGGCCTCCTTGGGGGGGATGAGGCTGTCGGTGGCCGGGTCGTAGTCGAAGTGACACTTGACGAACACCTGGG